GGGTGCCGGGCTCCAGCAGACCCCTTCCTGGAGGGGTTCCTATCTAACCATTTATTATGGCAATTTTCAAACCCGGTCACAGTACAACAGCGCAGACTCCCGGGTGGCCGTGCACAGCCCAAGAATCGCCAGCCCCCACCCTCTTCCCGCCCGCGGGATACTCTGAAGCCAACTGAGGCTGAAAAGGGCTTCCTCCCACCCAAGCCTGGACGCGGGGCCCCGGAAGGAGTCAGCCAGGAGGGGTCTTGGGCAGAAAGGGCCCTGAGGTTCGGGAGGCCCCAGCCAGCTGCCCCAGAGCGGGCTCCTGGTTCCTGCCCCGGCTCCACCTCTCTCTGCTTTCTGCCCTCCTCTTTCCCCTCACTCGCGATAAAAACATAATTACCAGCTTTCTTTTTATAAAGGGGCAAATTACGGTGACATGTTTTAATTATCTGCCGAGCAATGCAGGCTGAATTACACAGGCAGGGCCTTGGAGGTTACCTAAAAATAAAGCAAGAAGCCTCATTAATGCTAATTGCTGCTTTAGCAGCTGAAGTGAGATCTTGGCGCTGTGTGCCACTCAGTGCCACGCTGCCTTCAGGGCGGTCCAGGCCTGCGAAGCTCAGAGGGCCGGGCCCTGAAATGGGACAGCCAGGGGGTGCCGGGAGGCGGGAGGGCAGGGAGAGCCTGTATGCGCTCGCTGCTCGGTGGGCAGATGGAGACCAGGCTGGGAGGAAGGCGCAGCGGGCCCCAGTGACGCCACCAAAACCAAGGGCCTGTCCTCTGGCTGGAGGGCCACCCAGCCCCGGAAGCTCAGCATCCCCCTGCGGCTGCAAGGCCCTCCTGGTCCTGCAGGCTGAGGCAGGCACAGGCTCAGTCACTGCATGGTGCTAATGGCCACTCCCTGGCCCCCTTTGCCTCTGCCACGAGGCCTGAGAGGCGGAAGGGAGAACCAGATAAGGGACCAGATAAGGGACTTGGCACTGAGAGCCGGAGCCTGCGCTGGAAGGGGCCTGAGTTTGTATCTTGCTCCAAAAGCTGAGTCCCCAGGGTCCTAGGGTTCCACAAGGTGTCGTGTCCAGCACACCTGGGAGCTCGGGGGCTTCGGCTTAGCCTTGGTTCTGAGCCCCAACAAGCTCTGGAGTGGATGTTGTTCCCTTTTAATACACACACACACACACACACACACACACACAAACTAGAGGCCCGGTGCATGAATTGGGGCACCAGTGCGGTCCCTCGGCCTTGCTTGCGGGATTGGGCTGAAACCAGCTCTCTCACATCCCCTGAGGGGTCCCAGATTGCGACAGGGTGCAGGCCAGGCCAAGGGACCCCCAGGTGCATGATCAGGGTTTCATTGGTTGAATGGCAGACCAGACAAATGGACACTTAGATAGTAGGCTTTTATTATATTGGAGATATATATATATAAAATTTCAGAGAGGAATAGAGAGGAAGAGAGAGAAACATCAATGATGAGAGAGAATCACTGATCAGCTGCCTCCTGCGGGCCCCACACTGGGGATCGAGCAAGCCTGCAAACAAGGGATGGGCTCTGACCGGGAAATCGAACCATGACCTCCTGGCTCAAAGGTCAACACCCAACCACTGAGCCATGCAGGCCTGGCAGTGTTGTTCCCTTTTGATGCAGAAGCCCAAGGTCAGGTACACACGTGTCTCTGTGCACCTGGGACCCGGCGCAGTTGGGGGGATGGGTAAAGAAGGGGACTGGCTGGTGGCCAATGTGTCTAGTTTTCTGGGACTTTCCTGGTTTCAGCTGTCAGTACTACTTCCCAGGAACTCCACCCGCCTGGTAACCCTAGGCCTGGACTCCCCCTCTTCCTCCTCAGACATAGTTCAATCACACGCCTTGGCCTTAGTACAAGGCTAGTTTTTAGGTGGCGGTTCTCACACTCAGGCTGGCATGGCAGCGCCCTGGGGGCCTGGGAAACAGGCGCGGGAGCCACCCCGGAGCTTTGGGTCCAGCGGCCAGGAGCATGCCCGTATCTGCTTTTCTAACAAGTGCCCAGAGATGCCACTCGGACTTAAAGAAAAGGTTCTGCTGCTGGACCTCCTGGTGCACAGCGGGCCCTGGGAGCACAGTGGGTCCTGGGAGCACAGTGGGTCCTGGGAGCACAGTGGGTCCTGGGTGCACAGCAGACACCCCTAGGTGCACAGCGGGTCCCTGGGAGCACAGTGGGTCCTGGGAGCACAGTGGGTCCTGGGTGCACAGCAGACACCCCTAGGTGCACAGCGGGTCCTGGGAGCTTGTAAAACACACTCCAGCAGGCCCCACCCACAGAGCTCAGGTCCAGTCCTGGGGAGTCCAGCACTGGCTCATCTGACCTGGGATGTGACAGTGTAGGGCGCAGGCAGAATATCCTTCATTCGCCCTGAGACCAGCCTGGGGGCTGCCACTGAGCTCACCTCTGGGCCTCTCACTGGGAGACGAGATGAGGGCAGGGGGGCACAGAGCCTGTGGAGACCCATCGCCCTACCACAGAGCAAAGGTCTCTGGGGGCCACCAGCTCTGTCCAGGGAGCAGGGACACTGAACCCTCCCAACTTATTAAAATACTAGAGGCCTGGTTCATGAATTCATGCATGGGGTGGGGGGTCCCCTCAGCCCAGCCTGCACCCTCTCCAATCCAGGACCCCTTAGGATCAGGCCTACACCAGCAGTCAGACATCCCTCTCAAAATCCTAGGCCACTGGCTCCTAATCACTCACCTGCCTATCTGAGTCATAGGCAGCCATTTTGTGAGGGCGTGAGGGTTAATTTGCATATTACCTCTTTATTATTTGGGATGCCATTCTGAAGATACTGAGCTCAGTCCTCCTTTCATGTGCCCATATGAGCCCAGGAAATTGATAATAAGGGGCAGAGAGCAAAGGTGTGCAGCCAGCTGGCCAAGGAAGGCATCAGCGCGGGACTGACTTCCAAAAGGCCTGGTGGGACGGCTCCTGCTCCCGGCCTCGGGCCCACGGAGCCCGAGCTCCTCCCTACCCAGGCTCAGCTCAGAGCTCATACCCACCCAAGGCTTCCCTACCTGCCCTGCCCACTCCCATCCATGTTGCTTTGGCTGTTTGGCTGCAAGGCCCGTGTCTCCCCAGCAGACTAGATGCCCCTCCCCACTTGCCCCTCTGAGCCCCGGGCAGGCTGACTAAGCCAGTCTCAGGGATACCCACCGACCTAAGCCCACCAGGTGCCCACCCTGCTCAGCCCCGGCCTCCCCCTTGGTCCCACGGGCCTCCCCTGAGTGCTGAGGGGAAGGGAAGGGACAGCACCCCTTGGGAGGGTGACTCTCCTGGAACCCAGATGGAGCTCCACAGGCGTGCGAGTCACCTGAAAAGTCCTGGCTGGGCATCAAACCCTGTTCCAGGCCAAGCCTGCAGCCTGGCCTTGTGCCCCTGCGAGGCAATCGCCTTGCCAGGGAAATGAGCCAGAGAGGGGCGAGGTGCAGGCTGGGGGTGCTGTCAGGGAACCCCCGGCGGGGAGAGCTGGCACACTCCCCTTGTACACACACACACACACACACACACGCACGCACGCACGCACACTCACGCACACGCACACACACGCGCACACACGCGCACGTGCACACAAACACTGCCGAATGGGCCCGGGAGTTTCTGGCAAACGGCCTTGGCCTGACAACCTAGGTCTCCTGATTAGCCTGGGACACTGGGTAGGACCTACCTGGGCCTTAGGGTCCGTCCTGCGAAAGCAAGGCCATCGTGAGACCGCCTCCCCTCCTTCCCTCGCACCAGCGTCTATGAGTGAACACACGGCGGGCCTCCTGAGCGCAGGCGTGCTCACATGTGACCGGCCTCCCCCAGTAAAAGGCTTCCCCAGAGGGCACTGACGCCTGGTACAACGCACTGCTGCCCCCTCACCTCCACACACACCTCCACACCCAGACCCTGCCCGAGTCCCTCGCAGGGTCCCCCAGGCCCTCAGCCACAGCGCCACACCCCTCAGCTTAGGAGGTGGCTGGCGGGGAGTCAGCACAGGCAGCGGGGCTCCAGCTGCTGCCTGTGGCCTCACTGTGCCGCTGGCTCTGATTCAGCCCCGGCAGGGCCCGCCCCTGGGCCACACCCTGCCCCCCACCTCCCTGCATGCCAGGGAAGCCAGGCTGTGAGCACCCACTTGGGCCTAAACACGTGGTCGCAAACCGCGGCTCACGAGCCACAGGCAGCTCTTTGGCCCCTTCAGTGTGGCTCTTCCACAAAATACCACGTGCGGGCGCGCATGTACAGTGCGATTGAAACTTCGTGGCCCATGCGCAGAAGTCGGTATTTTGTGGAAGAGGCAATATTTTGTGGAAGAGCCACACTCAAGGGGCCAAAGAGCCACATGTGGCTCACAAGCCGCGGTTTGCCAAGCCACAGTTTGCCAACCACTGGCCTAAACAGTCAGAGAAATAAGCATGGAGGTGGCAGGAGCACAACACACATGCAGCTAGAACAGACACATACATGCGCACCTGTGCCGCCCACCTGGCCACACACCCATCATCTAGCACCTGTGGCCTGAAGACAGGACAAGCAGGAGGGGGGACTGTGGCTGCTGGAAGCTCTGGAAGCCAAATGCTCAAGAGGAGAGCTGCCTGGGGCAGAGGGGAGGCTCAGGTTATGGGTTGGGGCTGGGGTCCCAGGATGTGACCCCAGAGTAGAGGAAGGAAGGGCAGAAATGGTACCTGCCTTGAGGGCTGCAGGGCAGCGGACAGGAACAGAGCCTCCCCCCTACCAGCAGGCTGACTTCTGGAATCTTCCACAATGTCCCGGCCCCTCCCTGCCCAAG